TGGCATCACAGCTCACAGCAATCTCCAACTCCTGGGCTTAAGCGACTCTCTTGCCCAGCCTCCCAAGAAGCTGGCACCTCAGGTACCTGCCACAATGCCTGGCCATTTTCTTGTTGCAGTTCAGCCAGGGCGGGGCTTGAACCCACCACTCTTGGCATATGGGGCCGGCGCCCTACCCACTGAGCCATAGGTGCCGCCCAATGCCAGCTACTTTTTATTGCAATTGTCGTTGTTTGGTAGGTCAGCTCTGGTGTCTGTGGCTGGTGCCTAGCCCACTCAGATTTTACTGAAGTCTATTTTCCCAGAGGGTAAGATGGGGGAGAGAACAAAAATGTCAGCAGTTTCTTGGATTGATCATATCAGCTCTTATTGTTATTATTATTAACCTTAAGAGTAGCCTTCAATAATCTGAAATATGAGCCTTGTATTAGGAGAGCCTCTTGCTTAAGGTCACACACAGATTTTTAGGGAGGTGTTAAGCTCTGCTAGTTCTCTGTGGAGTAAACCGCCAAGGGTGTTAATCTCTGAGGGATCAGTGGGAGAGAGGCATTTTCCTCCCATCACCACCACAGAGGATTTTCCTCTGCCATAAGGAATATGTGCTCTTCTGCCCGTATCTCAGAGCTTGAGCTACTCCCTTAGTCTCTGCTCCAGGCAAATGCAAATCTCCACAGTGGGTATCTGCTCTGCCTATTTAATGGGCAGGAAATGCCCTAGAAGATGTATCTTTTCTAGGACATTGTCATAGCTTCTTCTATGACATTATTCTCCTCAGAGTGCTCACAGACCCAGCAGGGTTTGTAAGCTGTATCCCCAACAGGCTAGAATTTCAGAAAAGGCAAGAAGCTTGCTAGCAATGGCTAGTTTAAATGTCAACTGGCTGACTTTTCTTTGTTCTGACTCACTCAGCTTCCTTTTTAGTCTTCCTCTTTTTCTAGGGGTGCTTTCCTTTGCCAAGAATGGGGTCTTTGCTCCCCATTCTCTCAGCAGTGGAACACTATTTAAAAAGCATGAAGAGTCTCGGTGCCTGTGGCTCAAGTGGCTAAGGCGCCAGCCACATACACCTAAGGTGGCAGGTTTGAATCCAGCCTGGGCCCGTCAAACAACAATGATGGATGCAACCAAAAAATAGCCAGACGTTGTGGCGGGTGCCTGTGGTCCCAGCTACTTAGGCGGTGGAGACAGGAGACTTACTTGAGCCCAGGAGTTGGAGATTGCTGTGAGATGTGATGCTACAGCAGTCTACCCAGGGGGACAGCTTGAGGCTTTGTCTCAAAAAAAAAGAAAAAGCATGAAGACAGTTTAGATAGTTATTCTTTTTACTTTTTGCTAATAGTAGATAGCTCTCTATGATAATAGTAATAATAACCACCACAAAGCATGGTGCAGAACAATATTGAATGGTATATTTTTTGTGTGAATATATAAAAAGGAACTTATATAGTCTTTTTTTTTTGCAGTTTCTTGGCCGGGCTGGGTTTGAACCCATCACCTTCAGCATATGGAGCCAGCGCCCCACTCCTTGAGCCACAGGAACCGCCCAAGAACTTATATAATCTTTTATGCATATATATATATATTCTATTTACTTATTTTCTAGAACAAATAAAAAGAAACGGATAATAATAATTGTCTCAGGGTGGCACCTGTGGCTCAGTGAGTAGGGCACCAGCCCCATATAACGAGGGTGGTGGGTTCAAACCTGGTTCTGGCCAAATTGCAACAAAAAAATATAGCCGGGCGTTCCAGCTTCTCAGGAGGCTGAGGCAAGAGAATCACCTAAGCCCAAGAGCTAAAGGTTGCTGTGAGCTGTGATGCCACAGCATTCTACCGAAGGTGACAAAGTGAGACTCTATCTCAAAAAAACAAAGGATAATTGTCTTTAGTGAAAGTAACTATGGGTATGGGGAAGGAAGCTTTTACTTTTCTCTTTTTACTATTTATGTCTATCATTTTATTTACTTGTTTGTTTATTTATTTGAGACAGAGTCTCACTATATTGCCTTTGGTAGAGTGCTGTTGTGTCATAGTTCACAGCAATCTCCAACTCCTGGGCTCAAGTGATCCTCTTATATCAGCCTCCCAAGTCGCTGAGAATTCAGATGCCCACCTCAAAGCCTGCCTAATTTTTAGAGATGGGGGTTTCACTCTTGCTCAGGCTGGGCTTGAACTCCTAACATGCAGCAATCTACCTGTCTCAGCCTACCGGAGTGCTAGGATTACAAGCGAGCCATTGCACCTGGCCCTTGCCTACCATTTTAATTTGTTAACCTTAAACATTACTTTTAAAAATAGTCACCTATGGCTCGGCGCCTATAGCTCAACCGGCTAAGGCGCCAGCCATGTACACCTAAGGTGGCGGGTTCGAATCCCCAACCCGGACCCGCCAAAACAACAATGACGGGCAATCAAAAAATAGCCCGGTGTTGTGGTGGGCGCCTGTGGTCCCAGCTACTTGGGAGGC